TATATATATATAGATGTTATGAAGTTATGTTTTTGGTATCCATTGTAGGCTATTTGGTTTCATTATTTAGTTAGCTTAATAAATCTTAAAAAATTTCCCAGGACCTTACCTCTGTATTAAATGGCTGTTATGGATAAACATTGATAGGCCTTATTTAGGATGAATTAATATGGTATCCTTCTTTTTGGCCTTTTGCCTTTTGAATTTTTGGTGTTCTCTTCTTTATGCGCATTTTTGTTTATTGTGCCATCATCTTTTAACCGTTCTGACTAAAAACAAGCTGAACTATATTCCGCGGCTGAATGAGGGAATTGGTGCAGTTATGCAGGTGCCATTTTTGCTGAAGCATGCTTGAAGGGCCTGAATGGAGTTCCGGATGTAATAGAATGCTCTTTTGTCCAATCACATGTTACAGAGTTACCTTTCTTTGCGTCAAAGGTGATTTATTTTACATTTTTACTCCTTTTTTTTAATTTTTTTGTTTGTACGATGTTACATATTTGAATCATGCTTAACTTGCATTGTTATGTGTTCTATGTGGTGTTTTTATCTCTTATATATATAGTATAGATGCAACAAATAAAACCTCCTGTTGCGAGGTCATTAGCATTTTTCTTAAAGTTGTATATTCCAATAGAATCATTAAATTTTGGCTAAATTTATGTAAATTTTAACTCATTGGAGGAAAATCTTGATTGGTTCTTTATCTGCTAGCATGTTAGCAATACATTGCATCTAAATTGTAACCTTTGTTAGTCTGTATTTAAAATTTAATTGATCATCATTTTTTGTCTTTCCACTAATGAAGATACATCTAATGTATAGGCTTTCTGTCTTTTAACGACCATGTGCATTTAATCAACCATCATCAGCCAAATTCCTGTTTTCGAAATTTCTATTCATGAAGCCAAGATTTTAATGTTCTTCTATCTGATAAAATTATTATTATTATTTTTTAATGACATTTTTATAATAATTATTTTGACTGCAAATTAGTTTGAAGAAAGGCTTTTCTTTTCTTTTTTTTATATTTTTCATATACTTTGATTACCCTTAGATGAATGATTTAGCTCTATTATTATTGAACTTTCTCAGAGTATATCCTCTTCATCACATGAAGTTGGAGCAATTTTTTTATTTTGGTTTGAAGTGGTGTTACCACAGCCTTATATGATGTTCAGTTGGCTTAATTGTTTCATAAAAATATAGGATTATTTGGTGGAATATTTTAAATTTTTGTACTAGCAATTTCAAATTTTATGTAGCATTTTGTGTCAAGGCATATGAGAGGATTTAGCCTAACATTGGATAGTTAAAAAAATACATAGGTTTAGAAATGCTATGTGGTTGACAACTCCTAATATATTGGCCTCATTTCTTAAATTTCTGGTTTGATATTTGTCAAACTAAATTTTATGTAGCATTTTGTGTCAAGGTATATGAGAGGATGTAGCCGAGCATTGGAAGGTTAAAAAATACGTAGGTGTAGAAATACTATGTGGTTAACAACTCCTAGTATATTGGTTTCATTGCTTAAGCTTTTGGTTTAATGTTTGTTCACCTACTAGTATATTGGTCTAATTTTAAACCCCTCAATGTTCCACTCTCCTTTTAATTGGTGTCTGAGCTATTATTAGTCTGTTCGGATTCAAGCGGTTCATGCTATATGTGGACTTATGGGTTTTTTTTACATTAATCTTGTATGGTGATTACTAGTCTCCATGTGGTTGTGTGTGTTTTTGGTGCATTCCGATTGATGATGTTGAAAAGTTTTGTATGCGGGGAGTGATTGCCAATGCACAGGGCTCTCATTTGGTGGAGTGATGTGATGATATGTAAAATTATTGAGTTTAATCCTATATCATATTGTTAAAAAATACACTGGTGTAGAAATATTGTGCACTTGACTCACATTCATAAGCATAAGCTTTTGTGTTAATGCATATTAATCTACTAGTTTATTTGTCTCAATTGGACCTCTTCTGCTTTCCACCCTCGCAAGACTTTGCAATTGAAGGGCCGAAGAGATTGTGAGAATTTGCATTTAGATTTTCATCATATAAAAAAGAATGAAAAAACCTTCTGAAAAGTTTGTTTGCTAGAGCAGGCTTATAGAACCCGATCATACATTAAACTATTGGAAGGGAAGGTTGAAAATGTAAAACGGGATTTAACCGGGAATTCAATCAGGATAATTTAAATATTGTTAAATTAATTAAAATGCTTAAATTCTGTAAGATTCTTCGTAATGATGATAAATAGGTGATTGCATATATATAAGAAGTGGTCCACCATTCAACCAGAACTGCTCCGTTCGGTCCGACCCAGTTATCACAATTTTGGTGCTACAATTATAGTTTGATTTTGTTAAAAACAAATTAGTTTCAAGAAGCTTTTAGATAAACATTATCAAGAGTTGAATGGTGAAGCAAAAAATGTTTGCAAACTGGAAAAAGTGCATGATTTGCTTTAGGGGCAGGAGCTGATTTAAGTGATTCTTGTGATTCCATCACATTTTATGTTGCTTGAATCAATCACAAAAGGTGAGATGATGAAACAGAGCAAATGACTGATGAAGAGTGAGGAGAGGCTGTCATATTTTTCTGATTATTTATTGCTCTGGTATTTCTGTGTACTGTTTATGTGGCGCTGCTGCAACTGTTTTTTATGCTAAGTTTGAGAGCAGACATATATTTCAGAGCTGAAGAGGTTTAGCCTCCTCCCAGTGTTCTTATAATACTCATTTAGATTAACTGGCTTTGGTAGGATTCTAAACCATTTTTTACTTGAATGTTATTTGTTCTTTATTAATAGTTTTGACTGTGGATCCCCGTCTTCACATTTTATGGATTTGCTTGAAATTTGTTTCTACAAGATTGTGAGTCCCTTCAATTGATTGTTCACCTTGACAGATCCTTGAATCTTTAGCCTCATTGTCAAGTGGTGCAGCTAATCAAGCAATCTGGCTCACAGAAGCAACGCTGCTACTACATTGACTTCTGTTTAGTTGGTCTCTTTATGTAATGCTATCCTTTTTTCGAATTGGAGTTTTAATATTGAACATGCAAAATCCAATTTGTTGTTTCTTTAGTATCCATAATCTTGATATTGTGGACGTGATTTTGGGGTTGTCCTTTCACATTTTTTTATTTCCTCCTTTTTTAATAGTTTCTTTTTTCATCTGTTTGAACCTTCCTTATTTACCTGTTTCTGTTTTCTTTTTCTTCTCGTTGTTTTTTTTTAACTTGGGCTATCTATTGCTGTGGTCCTCACATTTTTCCATTTATCCACTTTATATGCAACCTTTGTTACTGGCCTTGCTTTTATTGCATTGAAAAATTGATCTTTAGGTCTATCCTTGATCTAATAATGTTCGTGCATTGTTATTAAGTCTAATTCAAATGTTGTGTGAACAATTTATGGTTCTGTCTAGGGTTTCTTTTCCATGCTTATGGTATTTTTATAAATTTATCTCGTGATTGAGGATTATTTCCCTTAACTGTTGAGCCATGATTGTAGCTTTACTCACAATTATATGTTTGAGTGTTAATACAGTCATTTAGAGGATTTATGATTATACGTAACCGTAGATGAACATCATATATTCTAATATTGACCAACTACACGGCTAAATGAGGTTTCCACCACTAGAAATCATTTTGAAATATATGACGGGGGTATAATTGAAGTGACGTTACACTACTCTTTATGTTTAAATAATTTCCCTTTGTTTATTGTATTTAGTTCTTGTTAAAACATTGGCCAATTTTTTTAGTAGTCTAGAAGTTGGAATAATGGAATGATTTGCATGCTTAATTTTGTATGCTGTTATTTTTCAGGGAAAAAAAATTATATTCAATGAGACCGGTTGTTCTCTTGCAAAACAATGAAAATTTTTAAGGAGGCTTAGATGCTTAAAGAATAAATATTACATGAATTAAAATTATTAGATATAAATTGCAGGGTGTTATACACTAGTAAGCACTAGCACATTAGCAAATAACCTTTCATCGTGAGCAAGGAGAGGCGCAACCTTAGTTACCTTGTACCATCTCAATCGCTCACTAGTACTGTGAGTGCCCAGTGTTCGTGAGTAGATCATCTCCTTTTAAATCTCAAACAATTCAGTAAAGTCTGTAGTTTCTTTTTTTCTTGGAAATTGGATTTAACTCCAATATATTCCATATTTTCTCGAGCATAACTCCGAGGAGCAACTTTTCTTTCTTCATTACAATAGGCACTCTAGTTTCTCTCAATTTTTTCTTCTTTCCCATCATTTAATTTGCACAATATTATGCCTTATCGACAATTATGGTTATCATGTCATACATTTTGAGCTTGTAATGAAACATAATATTTTTCTTATTTTTTTAACATTAGAAAAAGATTTATTTATTTAATAGTTTATTATGTGAATTACTATTTTTAAATGATAAATATTATGTATTTTGATTTATTAATTTCTCTAATTTCAATATTGTGGTATGTTTTTCCTTTAATATGTGGCGTGAGTTAATTTTTTTAAAATTTTTAAAGCATGTATATGGGGGTTTTATTTCTGATACTAATATCTTTATGAACAAGGGCGGAGCTAATTTTTCGTAGTGGGGAAATAAATTAACCGTTTAAAAACATTTAGATTTGACACAAATTGCATATTTTAGTAAAAACTACGTTTACAAATATCTATAAATATTATAAATAATGAAATCTTAATAGTTTTGGGGATAGCACATGCCCCCTTATACCCATCCTTGAATTCTCCCGTTTATGGAAAAGTGGAGTCTAATTTTACTTAGGCGAGCACATACACATGCCTGTATTTTTTTTTTGGATTGAAGGAATTAATACTTTCAAATTGTAATAATTTACATCTTTATATTGAGTTGTCTTTTATTACAAGCTTATATATGCCTATATATAGGCAATCAAAGATAATAATAAAGAAAAAATGCAATCAAGGTGTTATATTTTTTGTAATCATAAATAATACAAATACATATTATAAATAAGTTGCACATATGATAATTTAGATATAGTGACCTCCATTCCTCCCTTTTGGGATGGTAAATGTTAACTTGTGTTTTGAAATTCAATGTGTTTTTTGTTCAAAGATGTGAGGTCTTAAAAGAAAGGCAATCAATTCTCCAAATAAATAGTATGAATTCAACACAAAAAGTTGACAACACAACTTGTGTCTAAGAATCCTTGGAGAGAGATATTAAAAGAGTGTTGACATAGAGTATTGTTAGAGATAGTTAACAGATAGTTTTAAAATTGATAGAGAGACAAAAATTACAAATGCATTCACTGTTTTAGAGAACTTAAAGATATTATAGAGGTATATAAATCTAAAAAAATAAAGACCAAGTACCTTGAGTGTTGATGACAAAGTGTGCAGTTTGACTGACGATGAAGAAGCCAATAAGCTGGCAGTT